ATGTTATCTTACTATTATATATGATTATTATAACAACAACATAGCTAAGAGTAAATAGTTATGTGGATTTATTAAACTTATTAAACTGGCTTAGCCAGTTTAATAAGTTTAATAGATTTTACCTATTAATAGACCTATTAATAGATCTATAGATTAATAATACCTATTAATAGATACGTACTAGTGGACGAAATAAGATCATGAGATTTATCATAGTTGGCATTTAGAACTATATTGTATATTTACAAGCCCTACCGAAGAGACCAGTAAACTGGCAAAATGCATTTAGGGATAAATATGATGCAATAAAAAAGTGTTTTCTCTCTATAAAAAAAACTGGTTTGATTTTTTAACCTTTTAAATTCTGTTTCATTTTTTAATAAATGGTTTAGAGTTAAGAAATTTTTTAGTCCTCTATAAGTCAGAAAAGAAGGATAATTTAAAATTTTCGTGTACTCTTTGATAGTACAATTAAGTAAGGTTGAAAAATTCTGACTCCATTGTTTTAAATAATTTATTTTATTTTTATAATTTGTTTATTTTACATTATTTCAAAATAATAATAAATTATACATTAATTTTACCTATCTCCAAAGAACTGATGAGTGAATTCTGGATAAAAAGGTTCTTGTTCTTCAAGGTCTTTTTCAGTATGTACTAAAAAATTAAAAATAAGTTATCACTTCCATTTTTTAAATCTATTTTATGAACACAAAACAAAACTTCTGAATTAATTTTATCAATATGTATTTTAAAATTAGAAATATTTAAAAATCTATGATCTGTTTTATAAAATGGTAAAACAGAGAAATTAATAATTCATAAAACTGAAAATTATAAGCATAATTGTGTCTCTCATACAGTCAATAAAATATAATTTTACTGTAACTTTCAGGACTAGGGCTGTGCTAAATCAAAATTTGATATCGATATTGAATTATTTTAAATTTACAATTTAGAATAATGAGTCAATATCAAATGCTGATGTATCAAATAAGGAAGATCAAAATATTGATTATTATATATAGAAATATCAAACATTAAAAATCAATATCATGTATCAGGGATGGCAAACTTATTTTATGCATATCAAAGTGGCAAGTTGAAAAAAATAACTGGCATATGACATAACATGTGATTTTATTTATTTTTACTGTATAAATGAAAAAATTATTTTAAGTTTTTTATTATGGTTTTATCTTTAGCTCAATATATCATCATTCTTTCTCAATCATCCTTTTTAAATTTATGCTAATTAAAGTAGACCACTTCATTTCTTTAAAAATAGTTGTTCTAAGTCTAAAACTTTGGCATGAATAAATTATTTCAAAAATAATTATACTACCTACTGCATGGCATGTGGATTCTAAAAGGTTTACTATCCCTGTTATAGATAAATTCTGAATATCAATATTTTAGATTTTTAGAATAGTGATATCAATATTTTAAACATGTGTCCATTTCAGTTTGATATATAGGTTATTGACACAGCACTATTCATGACTAGCTTCCAAGACTGGTTTTCATATTTAGTATTTTAATAAGGGATGGACCAAGTAGGGTTTTTGGTCAAATAATAAACACCAAGTAATTGATAGGATGTTTCTGTTGCCAAATACTGAAAATTCTTGCCTTTCTGACTACCAAATACCAAACATTAGTTCATTTATTTGGAACTGCCTGAAAGAGAAGGTTTAAATTGAGCCTTAGAATAGGATCTTTATCTTACTCTAAGGACAGCATCTTCTATTCATTAAAAGGTTAAATCTTGCCATCAAGGTCTGTCATTTTTTGTAAGTAGAACATACAGTACAATTATTAATAAATAATAATTACTCAAGATCATTTATTACAGTTTTATTTGTTATTTTCATTCTATTTTATATTTTATCTTTCCCCTCTTCTTTCTCTTTCTGAACTAAAATGACATTATTTATCCAAATACCAAACACTTATTTTATGGATGAATATACTAGAACATCAAATAATGCCAAATATTCATTGTAACACTAATTTTAAAAATTAGAAATATAACAATTCTTTTTTCTTTATAGAGAATTTTATATCAATTATTTCTTTTTTAAAAAAAGCTATAATACAATCTAGTCTATAATATATATTTCATGCAAATAATCTATGAGTTATCTGTGTTTAAAAGTCAATCTGAAGCAGGTGCAAATTATGTAATGATGTAGATTATCTGCCCAGTGTTTCCCCTAAGTCCTTTTTGCCAAGTGCCCCACATACAAAATTTTTGTAACTACCTGGCTAATAAAGTTTATGATATAATATATATACATACATACATATACAAGGTGTGACTTTTTCATATTCTACAAGTATACTGTAGTTCAATCTCAATTTTAACCTATGTTTACCAGAACATATTTAAAATTTAAACACAGTTCTTTCAAGCAGATCAGTTAACACCCCTATGTGAATATATCTAAAATTATTTTAACACATTTATGTGATCTAAGTAATACATCTTTTAAAATATTTTCATAAGTCTACAGTAGGTAAATACCGTATGTTTAAACAAACATATTCACATAGGCACATTAAACAAACAAGAAAATGGCCAAAATAACAGGACCACTGATTTCAAACTAGGATGTCAAAGCTGTTGTCAACATCCTTGTTCAAAACAGAAAAAGATTATTTACATGAGAGGGGTTTGGTCCATCCAGCAATATCTAATTGACCACCAGGCAAAAAAATTTTGGGGAGAACAAAGCTGCTAATTTTAACTTGCAATTATCAACTCATCAAGCAGTTTTACTTTGTCTATACTTATCAAGATCATCTTGAAAAACATGAAAAATTTTTTGCACAAAGTTAAAATCTTTCATCCTCATGATGATGACAAAGCTTATTCAGTAATTTCAAACAAGACAACTCACATATTAAATACATTTAATGTTTATTTAACATACTAACTAGCTGAATGAAAGATATAAAAATTACAGTAGAACCTCGAAAACTCGGCCTAATGTGGACCGAAGGGTGGCCGAGTTTGTGAAAATGCCGGGTTATCGGGAATGGGGTTAAANACTGTATATATAAAATCAGAAAATAAATTCTCTAAACAAAAAATTAATCTTTGAATAAATATAATAATTGAGCATAACTAAGTATTTCTAAAATACCAACCTCAACTCCTTCACTTTTCTCAGGAGAAATTTGCTCTGCATAATATATTCCTAAAAATGTAGTTAAACGAGATGCACTATAATATAACTTCACTTTCAGATCTAGATATCCAAAAATACTCTCACTGTAAGCAAAATGTAAAAGTAATTATTAATTTCTTTTCAATAGAAATATTTTTACATGTAATCTTTTTAAATGTCATAATTAAGGAATATGGTTAAGATTTCAAATAAATAATGGTTTGTTTGAATAAATTCAACTGACTGACAAGAGATGTCTGTTAAGAGTAAACTGTAACAAAACATTGCTTTATGTAAGTTATGTCTGTCTAAAAATATTATCTTTTTGAAATATATGTACCATACATGTAACATTTGAAAATGAAAACTTTCTTTGATGTAGAAAAAACAGAGAACAAAACTGTCTGAAAAGTTACGTACACATTTATTGTTAGTAACGTTTGAGGATAAATATTTCACTATAAATTCCAGAAACTTTTGCAATTATGAACATTCCTTTCTCAATAAACAGTGAAATCACATTGTCTAAAACTTTAAACTGAACCAAATTGTTTTAGTCTTGTAACAGCTTGATATTATGGACCCCAATATAACAGATGGCTGATGTTGGTCTGGCCAAAAGTACAGAAATATTCATTCACTGTAACAGACTACTGTTACTATGAACTATTTTTCAGCTCCTTTAGACCAGTGCCTTTTCTTTATTACGAACTTTTTTGTTGTTGTTTTATTTTATTGCAGTCATCATTTTATTTATTTTATCATAGTCAGTGTTCTATTTGTATTTAATTTGCAAAAGATAAATACAAAAATACAGTAATACCCCGAACTTATGCGATAGGTGGGACTGAGCAATAACCGCGTAAGTCGGGGTATAATTTCACAATTTGTGTAAAATCCAAGTCGGATGTATGTAAGTTAATAAATGTTCTCGTTAATCTTATCTCGTCTTTTGATTCGTTCACAGTTACAAGAAATCACCACATAGAGTCTCTCAAGTCTCCGTAGATATAACAAACAAAGAAATAAATAACACAAAATAAATTATAGCTATGTGTCGATTCCGCGTGACATGTCCAAACATGTAAGTTGAACAATAGTGTGGGGGGAGTGAGTTATCAAGAGTTGCGTGGTACTCAAACAAAAGACGAATCGACGAGATTTGAAAATCGCGTAACTCTGGGTTCGCGTAAGTCGATGTATTACTGTAATATAAAATTCATTTTTAATCCTTTTTTTTTTTTTTGCATAGAGTTTCACATTATTTTTAGTTTGTGTTTTATTTTCTGATTGATTACATGCTGTTCAGTTTTGGTTTCATTTTCTCTATGAGTGATGTGACTTGGATTTGTATAAAGCAAAGCTATGCATAATAATGATAAATGAAAAACTTCAGATTTAATACAAAAAATAGATATAATTTATCAAATTGAAGATAGAAAATCTCCAGCTGAAGATGGTAAAGAAATGCCTTGGAGTAAGTAGACATTTTCAGACACATGGAAAGAAAAAACTGCAACGGGCTTTTCTTAGTACAATTCTTAAAAATATTTTTAAAATACAATGAATAAAAGTACAATAAACCCCCTATAAAATGGGTTCATATAGTTCGGATTCCTATATGACGGCGAAAAAATTGCAACCGTATTCATATAAACACGCTAAAAGAGACTCGTATAATTCAGTAAAACGTCATCTCCGACTTGTGTTGCGACTGGATTGGTCAAATCTAGACCAATAGCGGATATTGCACAAACCGTTGAGTTTAAACGAGCAGCGGACCTACTAAAAACCATTTACTATTTAACGTCCATAAAAATTATATTTATATTAATGATGTCTCCAAAGTTCAGCAAAGTTTTCTCAGAAAAATAATTTATCAGGAAGCACGCAAGCGCCATTTGATGCACCACTCCGTGACGAAAACAAGCTTAAGCAATGGCGTAGTCGAACGGTGCACACTCGGTAAGTAATCCTACAATTTTGTTTATAGCATAGTTTATATGGATTATTCCCAAAAAATTATACGTGATTTGGAAATGTTGAGTCAAATTAGTCTAGAATCGATTAATTTTATGGAAGAAAACCTTTCAAACAGCCGTAGTCCGTAAACTGCATACATGCCGGGCTGTGATTGGCTCATGTATTTAAGGACTTGTAGGACATTAATTTCATAAAGAATGGAACATATCTACTGTGTTATAGTGGAGTTGACTGTATTGATTTTATAGATTTAATAAAAATCTGGCTTATATACTTTATAATTGAAATTTTGTCCATTATGAAATTGACTTTTCTCCACAATATCAATATACAGTAATGGAAAAGTCAATAATTCTATATACAGTAGAATCACCTTATATTTGCAATAATAATCTGTTTGAAATGGGGTAAAAATACATTGATTTAGCATCTGGACTTGGAGAAAACATCTGCAAAGTGCAGCTATTTTCTCTGGATCAGTTATCAAGATCCATTCTAATGTGATTCTACTGAATAGTAATAATGTTTTGATATAATATACAAGTCTGTAATAATAAGTAATCATGATAAAGCAGACTTTCATTATAATGGACCCAGTTCAAGTTCGGTGATGGTTCATTATATAAGCATTTACTGTATTAATATGTAGTTTAGCATGATACTACTAAATTCTATTTGATGTTAATGCTGTTATATTCTTTAATAACAGGATTTTTCAACAAACATCTCCAATTAAAGAATACTTAATTTATAAAAAAAAATCAAATTTCATGAAAATTCTTTCAAATAAAGTATACTTAAGAAACCAAAGAAACAAAACAGGAGAGGCCTGTTTTGTTTTTCAAGTTTAAATAAATTTTTTTTTCTTCATTCATACTTGTTTAAAGCTTCCATGTAAAATCTTGTATAGCAAAGAATTTTGATACAAACATATTAACAATCATTATCATATGCAATATTTGTTCTGCTTGGTTGGAAACATTGCATAAGAGCAACCAAACTGTCTATTACATGATAATACTGTTAGCCATCATATACTCTTAAGACAGTATTGGACAATTAAAACGAATACTAGTCTGTAAGCTGCAGATTAACACATTTCATATCAAAAAATATATAGCAGAGATAATTATGTTGCACCACAATATATACACATCTAACTACAAGATTACCATTATGCATACACTGGCATTCAAATAAAATAATACCACAATATGAGAAAAATAAGGCAGAGGTCCCAAGAAAACTAAGAAAATTACTCTGTCCACCATATCAATCAATTTAAAGCATTGCTCTGAAATACATTATCAACTTTATCATATAATATATATTTTGGGATAAATGTTAAACTGAAAATCAATCACAGATGTAGTTTGGATTTTTAAAATTCAAGTTATAATAAAAATATATTACAATAAATACTTTTCTTAGTTAACTTCCAGTAAAGAAATAAAAATTCCTAAATACAACTTTTAGATATTAAAAATTGGCAGAAGTGCCGACCTGAAAGGTCGGCACTTCTTTAGTGCCCTGTCAGGATTGACACCACCGTGTTTATCGGAACATGGAAGCCAAGACAGCAATTACTACATCACACCATTGTGCAAGCGGTCCTGTAAGTGGACAGACGGATTCGTAATGTCAGCCGATCAAGAGACAGCATGTGGAAGAAACTCAAACTACAATTAACATTTAACAAGGATTTAACTAAAAATAAATTGGATAAGATATAGGAGTTCTAAAGTTTGTCACTGAGAGAGAGAGAGTTCACATAACGAGCGCGAGTTGCATAAATACCCAGAAATAAAAGGCGATCTCGTGATGGAGCTCTCATTGTTTGATAATAGTTCCGACAGTGATTAGTTCCACTATAATGTCCACTAGCACAATGATGGCACAAGGTATCCAAATGGGCACTGGTCAATGATATTCCTGGAGTAATCAGTGCAGGTTTCCTTTGACGGAAAGACAGACGACGATTGACTTTTTTTTGACTGTCTCTGGCGATATTCACAGACGACATCGGCTGTTCAGAGGTTAAAAAATCGCGAGAAAGTGTCACATTGCCTTCAAGAAAATGTAATGGGAGACTTTCTCAGGTAGCTACGAACAACAATTGTTACGTAACTCGAACAATATTAATATTAAAGTTTAGTTCGAATATAGGAATTTCTGCTACCTCACATAGTTATGTGGATTTATTTCTATTGCATATCATCATTTTTCATTTTCATGCAAATTCTGACATTCCATCACTGCTCGTGAGGTGGCATCAAAGTTGGTAAAATTGGAGTAACAGCATTTTTCACTACTATTTACAATTTTTAAAAAATTTTATGATTAGTACTTCAAAAATGCATCCAAAATATAATAGTGAATCAAACAGTGGAGATAAATGCAAAAAGTGTGGCTCTATTACCATGGAAACTAAACTTGACATTATAAAACTAAGTGTGTTAAAAAAAAAAAAAAAACCATTTGAAACACCTGCTACTAAGCAGTAGCAAGCAGGTAAACAATTCTGTTAATTAATTAAGAATATTGAAGAATCAAACACTAACAATATGTGGTTATTCTGTGTACAAATGTATTTTCTATGTTAGTTTTCAACTTATGACAAAACGTTGAAAACCTAACCTGTTTGTAAGTAGGAGTGTGCCTATATATAAAAAATTAAAATATAATTCAAAATACATTAAATACACACAAAATATAAAACTATAATTTGTTTCTCACTTAATTGTACTATCAAAGAGCACAAAAATTTTAAATTTTCCTTCTTTTCTGACTTATAGAGAACTAAAAAATTTCTTAACTCTAAACCATTTATTAAAAAATGAAACAGAATTTAAAAGGTTAAAAAATCAAACCAGTTTTTTTTATAGAGAGAAAACACTTTTTTATTACATCATATTTATCCCTAAATGCACTTTGCCAGTTTACCGGCCTCTTCGGAAGGGCTTGTAAATATACAATATAGTTCTAAATGCCAACTATGATAAAGCTCCATTACAGTCTCCTATCCCGCGTTTACAACTTTTATACCCAACAAGGTTTACCCATCATTCTGCTGGCAGCACACCATTATTCAAATTTACAGAATTACTTTGCATAACAATTGCAAAGTGTTCTTTAAATTTTATTTTTTACACAAGTTGTTTCTTTGTATACAATCTTTACTTTATTAATATTAATTTGATAACTATGAGCATTACAATGTAAAAATACTGGTGAAGTACTAACTTTTAATTGTACTGCAGCAAGATGTTCTGATAGTCTGACCTTTAACTTCTGTTGTAATTATAAGTTAATTGTTTATTGGTATCTCATTTTCTTTTCTATAAAAAAAAAAAAATGATATTGTCATCACTGATTATTAATTTTGAACCGTTATCCGGAGTGCCAGGTTATCGAGAGCCGAGTTTTCGAGGTTCTACTGTACTTCCAATTCTTTGAGGAAAGTTCCCTTAATTTCTGAGAGAGGAGGAGTGCCAGGATAAGTCTCACGAAAGATGAAAGAAAAGATTATGACTCTTCTACTATTCTATTGATAACATAAGTTCTCAGATAACTCTTCTATTTTCCTATTCTACTTCTAGAACCTTTTCCCCTCAAAAAATTCTTTGAATCAAACATGAATTCTGTTCTCCATTTGATGATGTTTTGATTAATTTTTATGAAAATTTTTGAATCAAATGTATCTCTCATTCTTCATTCAAAGCAATCATTTAAAAATCAGCAACTTAAAATTTGTTTTTGTTTCTTTTTCTAAGATCACACAACCAACGTCCTATCCTGACAGACAGAGACACAGACACATACACAGTGTACATTAATTAATTTAACATCACAGTTTTTTTTGAAACCATCAAAGATACACTCAGGAGTCACTCTGGAAAATTTTAAAACATTGCAAACCATTTCTCCAGTTTTAAATCTGTTTTTGTCACTTTATATTATTTATTGCCAATAGTTTTACTTACTAATTAATGCTGATGCTGGTAGCAGTTTGGCATCTGGAAACAAAAGTAACATGTTATGCTATCATTTATACAAAGAGGGCAAGACATTCGGATCTCCGATTCGAATGAAACTTGGTGAGCACATAGCCATATACTGTTAGCAATAGGAATCATTTTTAAATAATTTTTTAATTAATAATTCCAAATAACATATTTGATCACAATGTTTAAACAGTATTTCACAGGTTACTTCATGTCAAAATGTTTGTTTTCATCTACTGAAAAAAGATCCCAAAAAATTCCCCAAATTTTCTGTCAGTCGATAAAAAATCCCCAATTTGAAAGCACTTGACAGCATTGCACAAAACTGCCTTCAGTTCTCAATGTCACTTCCTACTTTTCTCTCCAAACTTTCTGCCTGACATCATAAAATCACTAGGTGTGTGATGCATCATACTCCCATTGTAGGGAAGCTAGACATTCTGCGTTTTTTTTCCTGAAGTGTGATTCAATTTCAAGGTGACTGTCAAAACAAACAGACTAGGGTTTTTATCAACACATTCTATCACCAGTATTATATTTTCATTGCCATTTTAATAAAAATATCATCAAGTGGCAATTTTAGTATTATGCAGCATGACCTCTGTATACTCTATGCCTTGCATTTAGTTCTCTCCTATTCATTTTCTGTACATCAATCCATATTATTTTAAATCTGATTATTACATACTACTATTCAGAGTTTAAGAATGAAGCTAATCAGAACTTCCATTTTTTACTGAAACTGGAACCAAGTATTCTTTAAAACATTGGTTCCAACTCCAACCTGTTTTTTTTTTAGGATATTAGATGTTAAATTCTTTGACTAGTCATTACGTTTTGAGTTGTTTACTTTGCAAATACAGTAGAACCTCGAAAACTCGGCTCTCGATAACCCGGCACTCCGGATAACTCGGCCACACCCTGGCAGGGCAAAAAAATCCTTAGTTAATTAATTTCATTATAGACAGCTTTATAAAAGTATAAAAGCTCTCATAAAGTATTTTTCTGAGGTCTGTCTAATCAGGTAAATTACTGTACACAGTGTATTCATTAATTTTCATTTTCATGTAGTAAAGGCTCTATGCCTTCATAAAGTACATACTTTGTTTAAGGGTATTTGGGCAGTTTATTCTCTGTTGTATTCTCCAGCAAACAATACATACAAGTACAGTACACTATTTTCTGAGGAAACACGCATACTTATCCTTTTTGAACCCCATTCCCGATAACCCGGCATTTTCACAAACTCGGCAACCCTTCGGTCCACATTAGACCGAGTTTTCGAGGTTCTACTGTATTTAAAAATTTTTAAATCAAAATTTCCTAACAACTTATATTTCTGAGTTACTACCAAGTATATACATTGTTTTTTTAGCTAATTAAATCATCCTGACACATCGTTTTTTTTCAAAATAAAAAATAATTAATTTGTATCAACTGTAATCACTAATACCATAATATAGATAATATTTCAGTAGCTTTTAAATAATAATTAAAATGTTAGTGTAAATTTTGTTTATATGTCAAATACTGTTAACATCTTTATAATATATGCTGGCAATTATAAAAAAGACTAAATGGTAAACAACTCTTCAATCAGGTTCAAAGGTAATGATGGTAAATAACTGCTAAATAGTAATTATAAGTTAATTGTTTATTGGTATCTCATTTTCTTTTCTATAAAAAAAAAAAAAATGATATTGTCATCACTGATTATTAATTTTGAACCGTGTTGTTATTTGTTCCATTTTTAAACACTATGTAGCACAACCACTCAACCACTTTGCGTTTTTCATCTTAATTTTTATTCAGTTCAGTTGACAATATCATTCTCATTTTTTTATTTCTTCCCTTTTAATTATTAATTTTTTCCTTATGTGAATGCAAGTCTCTGTCATGAATGGAAATTTTTAAAATATTTGCAAAGTGAAAAACTCAAAACTTAATGAATAGTCAAAGAAATTAACATCTAATATCCTAAAAAAAAAAAAAAACAGGTTGGAGTTGGAACCAATGTTTTAAAGAATACTTGGTTCCAGTTTCAGTAAAAAAATGGAAGTTCTGATTAGCTTCAGTCTTAAACTCTGAATAGTAGTGTGTAATAATCAGAATGGATCCACCAAATTTGCTAGTGTGAAGAATAGATTGTACTTGTTTTTGATATATTTTAGTAACAATGCATCTATCCTTTTCTTGTTCCAATCATAATCTGAGACCATACTAGTTGTTATTTATCTCTCTCTGAAATTGGTTGATTTCTGGTTTTTTGCACTACAGAATAAATATATCATTAATGTAGCATTTGTAAACAATTATTTTTGCTGTAAGTACTGCAAGAGAACAAATTGTTCTAATGTTCTTATAACTTATTCATATACATTGTCTAAGTATGGGCATCCCATTGGCATTCTTCTAATACTGCAAGTTGTGACAAAAATGATTTTGAGATGCACATGACAGCACTACAAACAATTGTCTGAACTAGAGAGAGGTTGCATCATAGGCCTAAGAGAAGCTGGTTAGTTCATCAGATGTATCAGCTTCCATCTTAGTTGGAACAATACAGTAATTGCTCAGTGTTGGCAACAGAAAAAGTTCATGTAATCATTGCAGAGACTCAGGATGTCCCAGACAGACAAATGCCATTTGAGAGCATCATGCAGTCAAGAGAAGAGCCACATCCACACCAATGGCATCACTATCAGTCACTGAAGGGATTCCACTTGGAAACGATTGGCAACAGAAGCTGGAATTAGATGTCAACATCCATTACGGCACCTACCACTAACCTCCCAACATAGGCAGAGCCATCTGCATTGGTGCCAAGTTCAATTATCCTGAACAGTGTCTGATTGAAGGCATGTTGTCTTTAGTGACAAATTCCAACTCTTTCTGTGCTGATGACTGCCAGGAGGACTGAGCAGTATTCCAATCCTGCATTTGTTGTCAAGTGGTATACGGTCATCACATATGGTGTGACAGTGTGAAGAGCTATCTCTTGGGGCAGCTGATTTCTAGTTGTACTGCAAGGCAATCTGATGGCACACATGTACATTAATGATATTCTGCAGCCACTTATTCTACCATGCTGTCAAGCCACCCAGGTGTGGTTTACCAACAAGACAACACTGAACTATATACTGCAAGACTTTCTCAATAGTGCCTTCCCATTACCAACCAGCTCCCCAGACCTATAACCAATAGAACATGCCTGGGACAGAAATTGCAGCCTTCTCAGAATACCACTGAATTAGTGGACTAGTTGCAAAATTTGTGACAGAATCTTTTACAGAGGGACATAAGCAACTTAACTGGCTTTACAGTGAACTGAATATCAGCTTGCATAGCTGCCACAGAGAATTTACCACTTACTAAAATGTCACCTTTTTGTTTCCACCATTTTTAATAAAACATTTTTTTGCATGTCATGTTAAGTTTCATGTCTGTAGGTCAATCTTTTATGGGAGTGTGCATTTTTTGCAATAGAGTGTACTTTAATATTAGATATGAAATGCATTTATAATTATTTCTTTTTTTTTCTTTTTGCAAAATATGAAAGATAAATATTTTATGCANTTTTTAAATTTATGCTAATTAAAGTAGACCACTTCATTTCTTTAAAAATAGTTGTTCTAAGTCTAAAACTTTGGCATGAATAAATTATTTCAAAAATAATTATACTACCTACTGCATGGCATGTGGATTCTAAAAGGTTTACTATCCCTGTTATAGATAATTTATTTGACAACTATGAGCATTACAATGTAAAAATACTGGTGAAGTACTAACTTTTAATTGTACTGCAGCAAGATGTTCTGATAGTCTGACCTTTAACTTCTGTCTGGTTTCTCCAATGTAAAAATTTGAAATTTCACACATGCATTGTAATCTGTACACCACACCTTCTTCTTCTAACGGATCTTTTTTATTAATATTACTTATTTTCATTAGTTCAGATAACCTGTTTTTTTGTATAGGAGCTAATTTCACTAAAGTTTCATTAAAAAATTTTTTTGATATTTTTCATATAATCCTTCAATATATGGAAAAGATACATACTTTTTAACTTCCTGTTTTTTCTTTACTTAATATCTATTTAACATGAAATCATCATACCACTTTTTAAACAAATTTCCTGGGTATCCATTCAACAAATACTTCTTATTCACTGTTTTTACTTCTTTTTCTCTCACATTACACTTACAAGGGAACTATCGGAGTGTCTTCTAATAAATTTTAATAAAATTTAGTTAATAACTACGTTAAAAGTATACAAACTCTATTTTAAATTTGTAGCATTCACTAAAAGTGTTGATCAGAGTTATTAGCAATCAAATGTTGCACTACTTTATAGTAGTTTAACACAATTA